GAAAGATGGAGGAGGAGGAGGGAAAGATGGAGGAGGAGGAGGGAAAGTTGGAGGAGGAGAATCTTTGCTACCTTTTGATCACTCAGGAGGAAGTGTGCTGATATCACAAAGGGGCAGCCCCCTGGGTCCCGGGAACACTGCAGTTCTACCACCGCTGTCTCAGGGCCTCGGTCCACTCCCACCTGCAAGACAGGGTGCATTTAGAAGCAGAGCCATGAAAAGTACTCACACTCCACATCTGAAAAGGCCTCCTAAGCAGAAGCAAAGCTCATTTGAAGAAATATGTTAGAAAACACAGACGTACCAAGGGAGTTAAAAAAAAAAAATCACTTGAAACCCTGTCACAACGATATAATCACTATGAATATTTTGGCATGTTATTTTGTGTGTTTATGTCACTTTTCACGCTTTTCTTAATATAGAGGGAAATATTCTTCTGCATTTACATTTTATTCACACATCTAAAAACAAGTGGGCCATCACTCAGAAGGCAAGTGGTGATTTTAATTTGTGTGACTGTCAATAAGGTTTTCTGTTTTCTTCTATGCAAAAGGAACGATTCAACATGGCATGAATATTTGGTGTCAATCTATCTTTTCTGAGAATGAGAAACAGCTAATGATGACACAGTGGAGGTGGAGGTTTGCTAACGCCATCTTGATGTTTTCTGTTTTTAAGTAAGTGCTATGAGTGGCTGGACTGTAGCTCAGTTGGTAGAGTGCTTGCTTACATGCCTGAAGCCCTGGGCTTGATCTCAAGCACTGCGTAAACTGGGTGGTACACGCTTGTAATCCTACCATTTGGGAGGCAGAGGCAGGAGGATCAGGAATTCAGTCATTTTCCCCTATGTAGGAAGTTCGAGGCCAGCCTGAGGTACATGAGATACTGCTCAAAACAAACTATATTATGAGCATAAATTATTTTCATTAAGAACAGTAAAAAAATGTTTTTCTTCTTTTAAAATTTGGTTGGTTTTGGGGTCTTATTTGAGAAGGGGTTTCATTGTGTAGCTAGGGCTGTTCTTGAACTCACAACTCTCTGGCTCAGCCTCTTAAGGGTTGGGATTATAGGCCTGAACCTTTAATCAAGCAAAATTTAAACAAACATTTTCCAAATAGTAAAAACCAACTTGTTGGGCTGGAGAGATGGCTCAGAGGTTAAGAACACTCGCTGTTCTTCCAAAGGTCTTGAGTTCAATTCCCAGCAACCACATGGTGGCTCATAACCATCCATAGTAAGATCTGGTGTGCAGGCCAAATATTGTATAAATTAAAAATAAATCTTGGGAGGGATTGGGAGGGAATGAGGGAGGGGGCTACAGCTGGGAAACAGAGCAAATAAAATGTAATTAATGTAAAAAAGATTTAAAAAAAAACCCAAAAAACCAACTTGTATTACAGGACATATGATAATCCACCGAATATGAACAATTTTTTAAAGCATAAGAAAATCATCAAAAAGGAAATGTTTTTGGAAATCATTCAGTTTTTTTTCTCTAAGTAGAAATAAGGCTCTTACTTTTTCCAAGATGTCATATTTCACAACTTCAAAGTCTTGAAGAAAATGAGGCATTTCAGCATCCTCTGCATAAGCCCTGAAATTTGTATAATTAAATGTGTGAGATTGAAATGGAACTTTAGACCACACAGAGTCCTCCAATGGATCCCTTGATTCCTTCTGAGGTACACAGCAGGTCCTCAGTGCCTCCAGGTACACTAAAGCCATTGTGGAATGAGCTGGATCCAGTTCTGCATAACTAACGTCTTAGTTACTGTTTTCTGATTTTTACCTACGTGGGGGTCGAGTGTGATAATTTAACTTGTGCATTCAGAGACGGATGACCAGGGAAATCTCCATCCTCCTTTTTGTGATTCCCAAGCACTAATGACCCAAACCTTGGGTGCCCAGGGAGGTAAGGACAGGCTACAGAAACAGTGACAGAAAACACTGTCACCTTCTCTGGACACTGTGCTTGGTTGGGCTCTGGCTCCCAGTACTTGCTGGGCCACGTCAAGGCCAAAGTGTCACCTGCCCTTTGCTTGTTCGGCTCGGCTTTTCATGGTAGCTCAGTTCTGCCTCAGCCTCCCGTGTCCTGGGGCTATAGGCATGTGTCCCATTCTTTGCATCATTTGTAGTTTTAATAATACTGTGATTGAAGCTTACAAAATATTTTGCTTACTCGGTGACTTCGGTGTTTTCATTCTCTAGGTTGTTGTCCAAAGATAGATCTTCTGTTTCCACTTCTAGAATTAAAAGGAAAGCCTGTTGACTATTCAAAGACTTATAACTAATTGTGAAACAACTGCTAAATTGTTATAATTCTTCTTCTTCTCTCTTTCTCTTTCTCTCTCTCTCTCTCTCTCTTTTTCTGTTTTACAAGACAGGATTTCTCTGTGTCACCCTAGCTGTCCTGGAACTCACGCTGTAGACCAAGCTGGCCTCAAACTTAGAGATCTGCCTGCTTCTGCCTCCGAGTGCTGGGATTAAAGGCCTTTGCCATCACCGTGAGGCTGGTTATGATTATAAAATATAGATATCTGCTATAGAATTCCCCTCCAGTGTTCTGGGGACTCAGCCTCGGGATTTTACGCATGCTGGGTAAACACTCCACTGGTGAGCCAAGTGCTCAGCCTCAATTCTGCTTTTTGTTTTGTTGGTGGTTTTTGTTTTTTGGTTGAGGGTTTCATCCCGTTGCCCACGCTGGCCATGGATTCCTAGGTTCCAGTGATCCTCATGTACCATCTTATTAGCACAGTAATGGCATTTTTTGTTTGTTTGTTTGTTTGTTTGTTTTAACACCAACGATTATTCTAGTCCCAGTTAAAATTATACATGAGGGCTGGAGATGGCTCAGCTAGTAAAGGGCTTACTTTGCAGGCATGAGGACCTGAGCTTGATCCCTAGCATGGGGTATGGCAGGGCAGTCTGGGGCTTTTTCAAAAGACAGACTGACTAGTGAGCTCCACACCAGTGATTGGTCCTATCTGAAAGGAGATGGACAGCATTTCAAAGGATGATACCCAAGGCTGTCCTTTGACGGCCACAGTGCCACCTGAGGCACGCATTTACACACATACACAAAACAAATAAACTGAAATACAATAACATCAAATATTCTGAGACCAGCAGGCTCTATTAGCCATTTTGAGTCTGGCCTCACTGGACTTCACATTGAAGGATTTTGTTTGCCATTTCTGAGTTAAAATGAAGCATGATTATTTTGTAGTATTTCTGGACAATTTTTCCCCGGTAACACCTCTGACACGTGCGGACGTCTACCATGGCAGCTCTCACGCACGAACTACTTGGCAGGACACGCTTACCAGAGCAGCTCTTTTCCTCTGGGGGTAGCGTGAGAGCCAGCGACCTTGAGTCATAACTCTTCACATCCAAGAGTCTCCGCTGTCTGACGGAGTCCCATATGAACTCTGGGTTTGCAATCTGGACATCGTTCTTTTGGATGGAGTTCAGTTGGCACCGGCTCAGGGCGCCAGCAGTGTCTACGATGACATGTGTGCACTGGGGACAAAGGTAAAGGCAAACTTTAAGAACAGCATTTGCATCTGTATCTTTTACCCCTAAAGGCAGTTTAGGGTGATTTTTCCAGATGTGTGAAAAACTTTATAACTTACACTTCTAGAAAAACATAAACACACACACAGGCTGCTCCCTCTCCGCCTCCCAGGTCTGGATCAGACCTAGAGCCTCGGCTTTGCTAGGGAAGCACTCTGTCACAGAGCTACAGCCCCTACCCTCCGCCACACAGATTAGACCGTGGTTATGGATGAGCTTCCATGTTCCCACTGCTGTGAACGTACTCATGCACCCATCTTTATGGACTTGTTCTGTTATTTCTTTAGTCAAGAAAGGAAGGTACAAAAGGTAATTCTTTTGCTACTTTGCAGTTCTATTTAGTTTCTTTTTAAACTGGGAGTGCACACGTGTGTCTGTGTGTGATGTGTTTGCTCTCCCGGTGAGTGTGGCACATGAGCCACACTGTGCGTGTGGAAGTCAGAGGACAACACTGGAGGTCAGTCTTCACTGTCTACCTGTCTGAGGTAAGGTCTCTTCTGTCATTTGCCACAGATATTACAGGACATTTCAAGGATTCTTCTGTTCCTACCTCCCAGGGATTACAGACCAGGCTCCTTCATTCACATGGGGTCGGGGGCTTATACCACTCAGGCCCTCAGGGTGGCGTGGCCAACGCTTCACCCTGAACTGTCACCCCAGCCTCCATTTTTTATAAAGTGTAAATAAAGAGTCAATGCAGGTTATAAACATTTATAAAGTGATAGGGGTTTCTGCCAGCCCTCCCCCACTGCTCCCAGTGCCTTCTCCCAGAGGTTCTTCTGTGACCTGCTTCCTCATAGATCTTTCTGGAGCTCTTCTTTGCAGACAAGAGGTATGACTGCACAAAGGAGAGCTTGTTTTTATACTATTTGACCTTGTTTTCCACTTAAATAAGGTTTATTTTCAAGTCCGTTCCTTGTCTATCTGTCTATCTATCCACCCATCCATCCATCCATCCACCCACCCACCCATCCGCCCATCCATCCGCCCATCCATCCGCCCATCCACCCACCCACCCACCCATCCATCCATCCATCCATCCATCCATCCATCCATCCACCCACCCACCCACCCATCCATCCAGATGCTTATTTACTGTTTTATGTTGTTGCATTTTTCCTTTTAGACAGTCTCACCATGTAGCCCAGCCCGGTCTGGAACTTGATCCTAACTGCCTCAGCTTTCCAAGTGGTGGGATTACAGACACGTCCCACCATTCTTGGCTTTGCAGCTCCTTTATCACTACTGCTGTGCACAGTTCAAACATTTACATACATGGGGGGAAAAAAGGAGTCCAAACCATCTCATACGCAGGATGGAAGAGCTTCCTGAACAGCAGAGAGCACAGGTAACCGTCCAGAAGGCAGTGTACATTACTCTTAAGTGGGTTATTTACCCAGCCATGGGAACGGGGAGGATGGAAAGTCTCTCACGTGATGGGAGCACTGCTCTGCCTGAACTGGAGGTGAGCGGGACATTTCCTTTGTGGTACCCTTCGGGAGCTGAACTTGCCTCCCAGGGTAGATGAGCTCACTGGCCAGTGCAGGGGGTGGGCCCCTGAAAGGCAGCCAGGGTCAGACCCATCAACAGAGAGGGCCAACAAGTGCAGGACATAATGCCTTTAAACTCTCATTTTGCCTTTTTTAATCTGAGCACTCGGGAGACAGAGGCAGGCAGGTCTCTGAATTCAAGGCCAGCCTGATTACAGAGTGAGTTCCAGGACAGCCAGGACGATACAGAGAAACCCGACTCCAATCCCACCAAATAAGATAGAATAAAAAAGAGAAATTGCCTTAACAATTTTCAAGATTACATCCACTCATGAAACTGTATCTTAACTCTTGGGCCTACAGTTCCTCTCTCAAGAAGCAGTAGCTCCTTTTAGCTCTTATGAGATAAGCTACCACAGAAAGAATAGTTCACAATGCACTTCTGCCCCAACGCCTGCTCCACCCTCACTGTCCCTGGCTGTGAGCCCAGCACTGACCTACAGGCCAGCCATACAGTGTGCCTTTTGCAAGCAGGTACAATGTAACTTTTCTCTTTTGAGAACAGGCATGACTGGTCCGAAATGCTCTTTCCATCTTTGACTAAACCCAGATTCACAAGATAGAGACAATGCTACAAAATGTCCACAGCAGAAGTCTGGGCTAGGTTGTGTCCTCTGGCAGCCCCTGCTTCTCTGGCCCATTTCTCAGGGGGCCACATCCCGGTGTCTCCAAACTTCTGTCTCCTGCTGCCTGTCTCTCTGCTTACTCTCTAACCATGAGAGGTGCTCTCTGCCCACGTCACAGTAATCAGAAAGCAACTGGCGAGATTTGGAAATACCTGAGGATTTAATAAAAAGGAAAACTTTCCACCGTTTTCCTTAATATCGGTTTGCAGCTTTTTCTTCTGTTGACGAGGTAAGTGTTTGACTTTCAAGTAGAATATACAATTTTCAAAGATTCCCAAAGTCATCCTGAAAGAAAAAAATAGTTTTGAGTCATAGGTTTTTGCTTGCTGCTGTAATTGCATGACTTTAAAGTTTCATACATGTGTAATATTATGCATTGAACTCATTCCCTCTCATATCCCTATTCCCCTTCCCACTCCTTCTATTAATCCTTTTTGACCTCCCAGACAGTTTTACTTCTATATACATACACATATATATTATATATATAAACATACATGGGTGATTTTTATGTAGCCATGTGAAATTTAGGAAGCACACACAGGAGAAAACATATCTGTCTTCCTGTAACTGGTTTAATCCAGTTACATCCGTTTTTCTGCAAATGACATGATTTTGTTCCTCTTTATGGCTGAAAAAATTACATTGTGTACATACATCAAATACCTCTTATCTGTTCTTGTTTCTGGACACCTAGGTTGGTTCCATAATTTAACTATTGTGAATAAACATCCATGCGCAAACCTCTCTTGATAGGTCAACTCCATTTTTTTCAGGATGGGGTTTTCTGTAGCCACCCTGAACTCCCGACTCCACTGCCGCCACCTCTTCCAGGCTGGGATTACAGGTGTGAGCCACTGCGCCCAGTTTATATGTGCTGGGCACTGAGCCCAGGAACGCTAGGCAGACTTTCTGCCAACTGAGTGACGCCCCCATCCTGACTATGGTTTTTGATACTTTACCCCCATTTCACAGAGCAGGAACGGTGCCCAAAGTCACATGACCCAGTCTGACAAAGGGGCTGGCCTGGAATCTAGCTTCAGCCTTCAAGTGAGTCAGACCTGAATGGGGGCAGAATACAACCCTTTCCTTCAGAAAGTGAATTACATGCAGCTGTTTAGTATGAAGTGTAATTTGATCTCTACAGAGCTCTCACTGGCCTGGGTATTGTCCCACAATTCATTTATTCTGGGTGGCACACATGTCATGAACACTCAATTCAGTGTAGCTCTGAGATGAGGCAAGGCAACATTTGTATTATGGGTGCAATGATGGACAGACCATCGATTTCCTCCACTGTAGGTCCGAGTCCCATCACCAGGAATCTCCCTCAGAAGGACCATCAAACACAGGAGGTGAGAGAGTCCCCAGCATGAAAACGTGAACAGGGGCAGAGGGCAGGGGCGCCTGCTACCACGCTGGAACTCCACATGCACATATACATGGAAAAGATACGAAAGTAACACAAACATCACAAGAGCAGACAAGGGCGACTAGCCTGGGAGGGGCTTCGACAGCCAGAGGGAGAGGGCAGAGAGAACACTCGGAAACCTCTACTCGTTTATGATTTCTGTGTTCTGAGGTTTTTTTTTTAATTTGAGGCCTGCTAAGCACATACAGGGCTGCCCCTGCAGCTGCAGCATTTTAAGTGTACTTATTGTCCTACTTTTTGTGCATAGTGCGGAGGTTGGAACCCGAGGGCCCAAATATTCTTCCATCCAGCTACACTCTTAGCCCCCTTTGCAGGCCTGGTTTGTTTGCTTTTGAGTTGCTTCCCACTTAGAAAATGTGTTTTAAGATATTTATTTTTAGTATTTTAAATCATGTGTATGCATATTCATGGGGTGGGGTGTGCAAATGAGTGTGGGTGCCCTTAGGGGTTAAGATGTCACATCCAACTACAACCGGAGTTTGTGGCCACCTGTCATCGGGGCTGTGAACGTAAATCATGTCCTCTGTAAGGGTAGTATGCCATTTCTCCAGTCCCTAAAAATGCTTTTCATGAATATATCTTAATTATGCATTTCATTATGACATTTTCCCAAGTCACACACACACACATACCAATTTTTGAGACAGATTTTTTTTTTTTTTTTTTTTTAAATGTAGCCGTGTCTGGCCTGGTACAAATTTTGTAACCCAGTCTTGAGCTTGCAACAATCGTTTTGCTTCAGCCTGTGTCCCAGGATTAGGGCTAGCTCAAGTCATTCCCCACCCCCACCCCCACATAACCTTGGCTGTCCTGGACTCACTTTGTAGACCAGGCTGGCCTCGAACTCAGAGCGATCCACCTGCCTCTGCCTCCCGAGTGCTGGGATCAAAGGTGTGCGCCACCACTGCCTGCTTCAAGCCAGTCTTGAAGGAGTCACTTTCCAGTGAACACCGTTGACGGTGAATTTAGGGGCGTCTACTGAGTATACATCAAAGTGCTGCCGCGTCTTGTCCCCTGCCTCCTGCCACGAATCAAGGAGCCCCTGCGACCATGCTGCCCTGCCCTCCGTCTCTCTGCTCATGATGTTAATAATAACACTTCTAACAAATCCCTTGGTATCAGTAGACTTGGAAAGGGGCAGGGAGGAGATGAGGGAGGGAGGGTGGGGTTGGGAGGGAATGAGGGAGCAGGATACAGCTGGGATACAGAGTTAATAAAATGTAACTAATAATAAAAATTTAAAAAAAATTAAAAAAAAAAGAAAAAATTCCTTGGTCCACTGTAATTTGTCAGTGTCCCCTTGAACTATTGTCCCATCTAAAAACCAACGCTAACATGACTATCCCAGCTTGTAGCAATAGTAGTATGTGCTATTTGGGGAATGTTTTTAGTTTTTATGGTTAAATGATTACTCTAAGAATCTTATCTATGGGTTCACAGCATACATGGTAATGGAAATGTAACTGCTCCTTGCTGCCTGTCATATAGGCAAAAACCAGAACTGAATCATTAATCTCTGCTTTATTCAGAAAATTGCTAACTCGATAGTGGGTGACCTTAAAGATCTGTCTTCTAGCTCATCTCTAGGCAGACGATAACAAAGGCAGCCTATCATTTCAAGGTCTAGTCTTGGCCCTCTGGCCACGTGGTTGACTCCCTGTGGCTGATGGTGGAGGTCTGCTCCATCCTGTCTCCTCTCCCTGTGTGGGAGAGGCCACTGGGTCTCACATTCCTCCTGAGCTGCCCTTACGATGACACCTGAATTGAAGGCTGACTCAGAACAAACCAATGAGCAGTATGTATGTACAGCTTCCTTCTTCCACAAGGAAGTACGAATGTGCTGCTATAATGTAGACGATGAGGGACCCTATTAAAAATATGACCGAGTTCAGCTATGGGTCAGACCTGTGGCTCAAGAACATAGAAGCTTTTTTTCTAGCTCCCTCCCACCAACTTCCTTCCACCCTTTGTCCCTACCTCCCTCTCCTTCTCTGTCTTTCTCCTTCCCTTACCCTCTCTCCCTCCCAACCTCCTTTGTTCTCATTTTTGCCTTCCTTCTCTCTCTCGCTCTCTCTCTCTCTCTCTCTCTCTCTCTCTCTCTTGTTCTTGAAATGCTAGAGCTCCAGCCCAGGGCTTGTACTCAAAGCCTTTGTCACAGAGGTGCATTCCCCTGTGCAAATCTGTACTTCTAAAGTAAAGAATAAATGATAGGAGGCTCAAAGGTTTGGCTCGTGACAACCACCACGTAGTTAGCACACACTACCTCCATTTGCCAAAAAGCTACTGAGGCCGTCTGTCAAGGATCCGATCATGGCAGCTTTATCTGCCCCTTGAGTCAGTGACTTTGGAGATGTGGCTGTGTGATTCAAAGGAATGTGCCAGCCTGCCACCTGCTCAGAGGGTCCTGTACAGGGTGATACAGGGGCAGTAAGAGCATGTGGCCTCTACTGCTGCTGTCCACTTCCAAACTAGCTCTGATTGCTTAGATGGGGCAAGGGAAAGAGGTAGGTTCTCCTAGCCCCTAGGTAGGAGGGCCTGGAGAGCAGACCTCAGGGGCTACCTCTAAGAACTAATAAGACTCACTCCATTTACTGAAATAAGAGCATACGCAATGAACTCAACCATCCCCTCTGGGTCAGTGCTGAGACCACAGGAAAAAGCTCAGATCTTGACCTTTGAAGATCAGCTTGCCAAGGAAGGAACTGATTTAAGAGCGTGTTAAATTATGCCAAATGAAGTTTCTTTTTTCTGTAAATGCCACAATAACCTTGATCATGGCTTTATGGAGCCCTTTGGGGAAAGCCATTTCTCAGGCCTAGATGAAGACCTAACATTCCAAGCTGCCCAAAACATAAGAGCTAATTCAGCTCGGCCCCATCAATCACCTGGCTGAGGCAACAGGGAATAACTGCTTGTCAGAGAGCCTGAATCTAACCTGTCACAGTGGAGACAAGAGGCACCGGGGTTTGATAGCCCTGAGAGGTCAGGGTGTGGCTCAGCCTCAGCAGCCACCTCTGTGCCCTTTACAGCCAGCGTTGAGAACAACAGGACCATTAAGACTTGGGAGGTCTTGGGAGTATTGAAACCGGTGCCCGCCTGAGATCTCAGTACTGGGGTGGCTCCTCACGTCCTACCTGGGAGAGATGTTCAAGGTAGCCACCCCAGGGGTACAATCTGGGGAGCCTGAAGAGGGTGGGAGAAGCTGCCCTGCCCATACACTGAAAACTGAGAGTGACCAGAAGACAAGATACTGATGTGAAGACCGGGGTGAGGGGTGCAGCACAGGGGCTGCAGCGACCTACACCCCAGGGAGGGTCCCCAACTTCAGCGGACTTCCCCGACGCACAGCAGGCAGCCTTCCGTTTCCTTCCTTCCTTTCTTTTAAAGATTTATTTCATGTGTGCGCCTGGGTGTACACGTGTGCCCCGTGTATGCGCGGCGGCCGAGGGCCAGAAGTGGGTGTCAGATCCCCTCCAGGTGGAGGGACGCGGAGTTGTGAACCATCTGAAGGGCTGCTGGGGGCCAAACTCAGCCTCTGCAAGGACAGAAGCCCGCTATTGCTAAGCCATGACCCAGCCTCCATCTCCAAGTTTTCGAAGACCCAGAAAGGGGCTGGTTCCACACTTCATCTTTTTCTTTCCTCTTTTCTTTTCCTCTTTTCCTTTTCTCTTTTCATAACTTTTAAGGTATTTTCATTTTTATTATGTTAAAAATACCCAAAATGGAAAGGTTTTTATATTTTCATATACTCATCCAGTTTTGTTTATACTTATTTTGTCATTATTGGGCAAATCCATTTTATGTTTTGGGTTTGTTTTTTGTTTCTCATTCTCTAGCCCATGCCGGCTTTGAACTCATGATGCTGCATGGCTTCCCAAGTGCTGTGATTACAGGACTGAGCCACCACACTCAGCTTCTTTTTTTCTCCACGTTCTCCATTGTCACATTTTCTTAGTGTTTTTTTTTTTTTTACTGTTTTATAATCCAGTCAATGACTCACAGATAGCCATGGTCAGAGGAACGCTCCATGGACTAGTCAAGATGAAACAATGTAAATGTAATGTCATAGGAAAGGGCCAACTTGCCTACAGAGACACAGAATAGCATCCTCTCTTTCATCATCTGCTCTAAAAGCCAGGGAAGGATACGGACTGGATACCTTAATTGCTGAAAGTAATTAACAAATGACCAAAATTATTGTATCCAGAAACTATCATTTAAATTTGATTCTGAAAGAAGGGCATTTTGAGAAAAGGCAGTTCGTAGCCAGCAAGCCAGCACTGCAGAAGATACGTACAGAATACTGCAATACTCTCTGCAGAGGAGGGAAAGGATCCTCAACCACAAGAGAAGAAGAAATGATACATTTCTGGAAGGACTGGTGAACAATCCCGGGACCAATATAGTAAACGGAAAAACTCTAAAGAGGAATAGGGAAGAAGAACAAATAGTGACCCCCCCCCCAACCAGAAAAACAACCAACTAGCCGTAGGAAGAAGTATAGATCTCTTAATAATAACCTTAAATACAAATGGCTCAACTCATCAATAAAGAGATATAGACTAAAAAGCAAGACCCAGCAGGGCCAGCCTCGGCCACAGCAAAGGTATGTCGAGGAGGAAACTGTACAGCAATGAGTGCTTACATCGGAAAACCAGAGTAGGACAGGTAGTGGTGTGCACTCAGGAGGCAGAGGCTTGTGATTCTGTTAATTTTAGGCTGGCCTATTCTACACAGTAGGATCCAGGCCAGCAAGGCTATGCAGTGAGACATCATCTCAAAAATACAATAAAATAAATCAGTGTAATCTCAAATAAAAACTAAAGATTCACCCCCAACTTTTTAGAAAAGCGAGAACAAGACAGAACCAAAAGTAGTAGATAGCAGAGCAAAACTGAATGAAACGGGGGTAAACATGGAATTAGCCAATCCAGAAGATGGTTCTTGCCAGGCACGCTAGTGGCACGCACCTTTAATTCCAGCACTTGGGAGGCAAAGGCACTTGCATCTCTGTGAGTTTAAGGCCAGCCTGGTCCACAAAGTAAGGTCCAGTACAGCCAGGGAAGTTACAAAGAGAAACCCTGTCTCAACAAAACAAAACAAAACCCAAACAAACAAACAATACCAACCCCCCCCCCCATGAAGTTAGTTCTTGAAAAGGTAAGCAAGACTGACAAACTCCTAGCCAAGTTGACCACAGTAAAGAGAGCAGCCTAAGGGTGCCACTCAGTTTGTAGAGTGCTTGAGCAAGGTTGTGGGTTTGCTCCTCAGTGTCAGCTAAAACTGGGTGTGGTGGTGCCTGTCTATAATGCCAACACCATAGGTGGAGGCAGAAGGGTCAGAGGTTCAAGGTTATCCTCAGCTATATAGGAAGCCTGTGCTACATAAGACCATAATGAGAGAGTGGAGTGACATAGATAGATAAATAGATAGATAGATAGATAGATAGATAGATAGATAGAAAGAATCAAATTAAAAAATTAGAGATAGAAAGGGGTGTTACAATATCTTGAAATAAGATGCAGAGTATCTTAGGAAATTCTTTAACTCGCATTACTGAACAATAACAACTACAACCTAGAAAATCTGGAAGAAATAAATACATCCCTAGATATATGTGACCTACCAGAATTAAATCAAGAAGACATAAACAACCTAAGCAGATGCATCAGGTAACTAGGTTGAAATAGTAATAAAATGTGCCCACAAGTCCCACATGGTATGGGATGGTTCACAGCCATATTCTCCCACACCGTTACGAGGAAGTCAATACTAGCGCTTCTCAAACTGTTCCACAAAGTAAAAAGGGAAGCGACGCTACCTTACTCATCCTGTGAAGCCAGTGTCACTCTGACATCAAACCAGACAGGACACAACAGTGACAAAAAGAAAAATAGAGACCAAACTCTCTGACAACCACAAAATTAAAAATACTGTAAATCAATTTCAAGAACATGGCAATAAAGTTAGTTTCATCCCAGGGATGTAAGAATGGTTCACCATATCCACATCTATGAATATAATACAATGGACAAATAGACGTAATGAAAAACCATATGATCACGTCGATAGCCACATTGAAGACCTTTGAGAGAGCCCAACAACCTTCAGGACAAGGCCCTTCCTTGAGAAAGTAAACACGGGAGAAATGCACTTCAGTGTAACAAGAGCTAAATATGACAAGCCTATAGCCAACCTACACAACACAGGGAGTGTCCTGAGACAAGTAGCCACTCTCCACTCTTCTCAATAGATGCTGGAAGTCTTACTGGACTAGTAAGAAGAAACAGAAATACACATGGGAAAGGGAAAAATTTAATTTATCCCTATTTCTGCCTTAAAAAATCAAATGAGAGCCCTTGGTGGTGGTGGTGGTGGCTCACACCTTTAATCCCAGCATTCCGGAGGCAGAGGCAGGCAGATCTCTGCTTTCAAGGCCAGCCTGTCTACAGAGCGAGTTCCAGGACAGCCAGGGCTACACAGAGAAATCCTGTCTTGAAAAACCAAAGAAAAGAAAACAAACAAAAACATCAAATTAGAAATAAATCTAACAAAGGTGAAATACCTCTTTTGATGAAAACATTAAAACACAATTGGAAGAAGAAACCAGAAGGAAAGCTTCCCATGTGAATGTATTGACAGAATATTATAAAAATAGCTGCATTGTTGAAAATGATCTACAGATTCAAAGCAATCCCCACCAAAATCCCAAAGACAGTCTTTATAGCAGTAGGAAAAAAATTCACAAGGAAGCACAAAAGAGCCTCCAATAACCAGAGCAATCCTTAGCAGAGAGAACAAACTCATCTCAGGTTACACTGCAAGCCGTGGTAATAAAAACCTGCTACTGACGTAAAAACAGATAGATGGATGCAACTGAAATAAGCCCACATAACTACAGAGACCTAATTTTTGACAAAAGTTTAAAAACCTACATAGTGGAAAACGGTGCCTTCCTAGTAAATGGTTGTGGGTAGTCTTTGCCATCCACATTTCCTTCTGTTAGGATGCCCCAGAGATGCCCATCCAGAACTGCCTTCCTACTGGCCGCCCTGCACGGGTCCCAGGATTGGTCACTCTTGCCATCATTTCTACAGGCGGGCTAAAGGATTAAGGAGCTATGCTTTATTTACAAGCCTAGCTAGAATCCAGATCACTTGAGAACACTCACACAAAGCCCAGAATTACAGCAAAGCTTTCTGACAGTGTCAACATGGCCAGACTAAAGATGAATGGAATGGAAAGGTTAAGCCCTGGAAAGCAGGGTGCAGCTTTAGCCCTGGGTAACTCTCCATGGCACACAGTTAAACCTGTGTGTAAGTACTTCCTGAAAAAAGAGGAGAAATTCTGCATCGCTCTCACAACCCAGAGTGATTTTCTACCTTAAATCACCACACTTGACTTGCTGCCATTTATGGATTGTCATTTGGCAGTCCTCAGGATCCATAGAAGGCGGAGGTCTGCCCACTCCGCCCCCTAATGCATCACGCCGCACCCCAGCAGGGACTATTTTACTGACCTGAATGTTTTGTATCGGGGCCTTAGGAAACCGGACCCCTGCAAGAAATATGCCGGGAATGAAGAGGCCCACTGGAGAGCTTCATTTTAGTGAGGTTTCTCTTGTCGCAGAGATCATAACCAAAAGCAACTTGAGTAGGAAAGGGGTTGTTTCCTCTCCTAGCTTACATCATGACGAGTGCCAGGGCGCGAACTCCAGACGGGAAGCTGGAGGCCCGTGGCTCTCAATCTGTGGGTCGCGACCCCCCTCTGGGGGTGTGTGTGAGTGACTCTTTTACAGGGGCCGCCGAAGACCATCGGAAAACACAGATATTCACATTATGATTCGTAACGGGAGCAAAATTACAGTTACGAAGTAGCAACGAAAACAGTTCTGTGTTTGGGGGCTAGCACAACCTAAGGGGCTGTGCTAAGGGGTCGCGGCGTTAGGGTGGTTGGGGACCGCCGCTCACGGGCTCGCTCTCTGCTTCTGCTCACGGTTCCCTCACACAGCCCGGGCCGCCGGCAGAGGCGGCACCACGCGGGCTAAGCTCTCCTCCCTCAGCTATCCAGCGAAAGCAGTTTCTCAGCTGAGGTTCGCTTTTCCCAGGTGTGTCAACCTGACAAGCAAGACTAGCCCCAGCCCGGGAGCACCTGCCAGCAGGGCAGAGGCATAAACCCAACCCCAGCGCAAACCGAAAAGGGCGTATTCCCTAGCCTTTCTCCTTCTCAGTCCAACAGATTGCAACATCCCCAGGCTCGGCTAGGCTGTGATTGAGCTCACCCCTCCCCTTTCACTCATGTTTACTTTATATTTTTATTTTTAATAGGACCCAGAGCTAAGCTTTACAGGCAGGCTTGGCTACACTTCAACTCCAGACCTCAGGGAGCTCAATGGGCTTCTCCCACGGCGCTTCCTAGGCGACCAGATGACGTTCTCCGCAGTAGTCACCAAACTACTGTACTTTCGCAGAAGTTTCCTCGGAAATCCGGGTTTCAGAAAGTCAAGAAACGTTGCGTTCCGCGGCGGTTCTTTTCCCAGGACAGGGGTGGGTCTGGGGGCGTAGACAAGGTTGGCCTCCCCAGCGCAGCTGGCCCGGGGCCCTGACCCCTGCGCAAGGCGTCGGCGACGGTCGCGGCCAACCCGGCCGCCCCGGCTAGGGCTACCCGGGCCCTCGGGGCTGTCAGACGGCGCCCGGGCACCCACGCACCTGCCTGGAGATCCGGACCTTCCCGGCGCCGGCCGATCCCCTCCTGCGTCCCCTGCAGCCAGCGTTCCAGCCGCGGTGTTTCCGCTCCGGGCGCCCCCGCACCCCGGGCCTGCGCGCTGCCTCCGGCGCCCCTTGGCGGGGAGCCCCGCGACTCTCCCTGTTACTTTGCCCGCAGGCTGGAAGGCCCCGCCCGGGCAGGCGGAGCTCCGAATCAGCCTAGCCTTTCAGGACTTTCAGTTTCTCTCTCCGACTGTAGATTGCCAGTAGGGGTAAATCCAAAGTTTGAATTTGGGTGACGTGATGGAGAAATAATTATGGATGGGGGCTAGATAGAGTGCCGGAATCCCAAGACAGGTAAGGAACAAGTTTCCCAAAGGTTTTGGATAAAACAGGAAAATTCAGAGCTGAAGAGGAAGCTCATTGGTAGAGCGTTTGACAAATGCTGGTTTCGATTTTCAGCAGCAACAGTGGAAGAAAGTGAGTTTCCTGACTTTGAAACGTACAATAGGTTCCATCGCTAGGTAGAGACGCTCAAAGATGGGGCCAGGGCTATACAGCTCAGCTGGTTGATAGTCTGTCGCCTGTGGGCCCCGGGTGCTAGGGTCAGAAATGTACTGGGTAGGGACTGATTTGGAAATAATCTGATTCCTGAGAATACGATAATGGAATGAGAATTAAAGGTCAAGAAGAGAGAGCTGAATGTAAAAGGTGAATTCCGGCGCCACGATTTATTGCTGGGGCGTTGTAGACAAGGCCCTTCACCCGGTGTGGGGCTCAAGTCTCATTAAACATTTATAAGGTTGTATCACAATCACTTTATGCTGGATGTGACTGCTTGCTCTGTAACCCCAATTCCAGGCTGGGCAGATAGGGTCGCCCTGTGTAGCCCTGGCCGACCTGCGTCTGGCTATGACGGCCAGGCTGTCGTCTGCCTCTGGAGTGGTGGGATTAAAGGCTTGTGTCACTGTGCCAAACAGGGAGACCCTAGCTTTAAAAAGGAAATCCACTTATAGTTTAATAGACAAGTGGAAGTGTGCAAAACGATCTTTACAATTCTCTTTAACAGGCACACTCTGTATAAAGGTATAATTTGTGACAAAACCCTTCAAATGTGGAGAGATTGAGATGTATGAGGAGCATAGTTTTTGTCTGTTTTCATATGAATTGATCATATTTTTATATGAAAAGACCAAGGCACCAGGAACAACCTATGTTCAACAATTTTAGGTAAATTTAACACAATAAAAATCAGAAAATGCTGTCTCTGAACCATAATGACATGAAACTAGAAACCTGGAATAGGAAAAATTGAAAGCAAAAATATATGGGAATTAATGTTTTCACAGAAGTCACAAGAACATTAGGGATCATTCTGAGTTGAATAAAAAATAAACCAATATACCAACACTGGTGAGAGATAGTAAACATGTTCTAATAGAAATTTACACTTGTGAAAGCTGACATTTACAATTGTGTGTGTTCCAGAAGGTCCCATAGTCAAAGGACAGTTTTCAGAGTTGGTTCTCTCCTTCTACTTGGAGTCCCAGAGATTGAACTCAACTCACCAGGCTTGGCTAGCAAGTGATTTTACCTTGAGCTAAGCTGTCTTAAAGGCTTGAATGCCTACATTTAAACAAGAAAAATGCCAAACCAACAACCTAATTTTATACTCAAGGAACCAGAAAAACTAGGGGAAATGAAACAAAACAAACAACAACAACCAAGAAAAAAAACAAAACAAAACAAAAAAAAACACCAGGTGTCCTGGCCGGCACCTATAATCCCAGCAATCAGGAAGTACAAAGGAGGTCTGCTGTACTGCCATAAATCTGAAGGTTTCCTGGACTACAAAGTAAGTTCCAGACCAGCCTGGGCTACAAAGAAAGAGTCTATCTCAAGAAATATATATATATATATATATATATATATATATATATATATATATATATAAAACCTATACTATATAATATATTATATAATGTGTAATTATGTAATGTAAAGTATTACAGCTGTGTAATTGAGCATTATATAAGGAATGGTGGCATGTGTCAGCAACATGACTGTTGTTTTGGCACTCAGGGTGCGGAGGCAGGATGGCTGTAAGTTTGAAGTCAGCCTGGCCTAAGAAGACCTGTCTGAAAAATAAAAACAAACACTAATGAAAGATATAAATTATCGGACGCACTGACAGAGCCCTTCCCAGCTTATAAAACCCCTGTGCTTGGACCTCTAGCACTACCCCTAAATGAAAGAAACAAAGGGACGGAAGCTCGGGTCAGTTAGTAAAGTGCCAGCACACAGCAGAAGGCCTGCACCTGATCCCCAGCAGTCATTAAAAAAGAGAAACGACTCCTGTGCACAGCAGCTCGTGCTTGTACCAGTGCGGCGCAGCCCGAGAGAGACAGGAGCATCTTGCTGGTCAGAGGATACGGAACTTCTGAGGACGCCTAAGCAGACGTGAGTTCCTGGCTTGGCCTCCACAGGCAAATTCACGTCATGCCTGTGCAACCCTCCCTACTCATGTGCTCACACATTCTAGCAAACACACACACACACACACACACACACACACACACACACACACACACACAC